CTCTCTCTCTCTCTTTTTTCTTTCTTGCGTACTGGGGATTGAACTTGGGTCCTTGCATTTGCGAGGCAGGCAGTAGAACCACTGAGCTAAATCCCTGGCCCTAAACCTGGTTTATTTACTCTCAAATTCATGCACTTTCTCCCATAAAATGGCCAATTTTTGTGAAACTAGGAGCCAGGTACCCCCAAAAATCATAAGTAACAATCTATTCCTTTAAAGATCTTTAAGAATTCGGTGACTTTAACATTTGCTGGTTCTAACTATAGGGCTTTATGTGATATGACTCAGTTTTCTTCATACATCTGTTGCAGATAAATAAATATTCATGACATAGGAAAGATGGCAGGGACTGTTGTTCCTGGTTGGGGCAGATGGACAGTCATATCAGTTGGAAATTGTAAATGTCATGTCCTTGGTCTCATCTTTGTGGATTTCTGGCTTTCCTGTTGAGAGCTGCCTTAGTGTGGGATGTTTTTTTCCTCACTTCTTGTTCTTTGTTTTTGTTTTCTCCTCAGATCTAGATACTGATGACGATTTAAATAGCGACGATTATGAATATGAAGATGAAGCCAAACTTGTTATATTCCCAGACCACTATGAAATAGCACTACCAAATATTGAGGAGTTACCAGCCCTGGTCAGTGAGTGTGCACGGGTGCTAGCTAGACACGCTTGACTCTGTGTCAGGTGTGTGTGTGCGTGTGTGCTGTGTGTGCATGGAGCAGGGAGGGGGGTTGAATGAGAGATGAGGGTAAGAATGAGCATGAACATGGGCACATCACTTTTCTTCCGTGACAGGGGCCTCCTAGGGTTCTGTTTCAGCTCCACTGGGCCATACACCCTCCTTGCTGCCTACGCCTTCCAGTACTGTTTGAACATCATCGGCCCTGAGGCTAGTCTCTTCCAGGGTGGGCTGGTTTCTTGTCCCCAGATGGCAGTCTGTTCCTTAGATTTTCAAAGTGTTCACCCAGCATATGCAGGGACTGCTGGAGAGAGACAGTCTTCTGATCAGAGGGACAAGGATATTTTTATCAGTTTTCTCATATTGTCCTTCCACGTGAGATTTTGTTTGGAAAAACTAAATATGTTCCATTGCTAAAAAACAGCAACACAGTTATAAAAAGAAACAGACATTTACAAATCACAGGTCTGTGGGAGCTCTGGGAAACGTAAACCCATTCTTTTCAGTTTTGTTCCCTGTGAGAGCTAAGACTACTCTCTAGATTTTATATTTTTAGTAGTGAGTT